ATTATGATTTTTGCCGTAATCGCACAGCTCTAGTTTTTAGTAACGGAGCTCAAAACGGCTTCTTTCCCTCTGAATTCTTGCCCTTATGTCTTGTAAAACATATCAAATCCTGCATTAACTTTTTTTAATTTAGTAATTTTCAGGCAAGGTTAAGCATAAATGTAGTAAAAAAAAAAAAACCTGCAAGTTGCTCTTTAAGCTCATTGTATGTTTCAGATATAGTTAGCTTTAATGACGTTTGTTTTCCCCTCAGGAGCATCTGGACCGTGCCCTCGCGCTCCGAGATGATGACCCCATGTGTTTCTACCTGCTGGGCAGATGGTGCTATGAGGTGAGGGGGGGGCTGTTATTGTTAACTGGTCAGATGCAGTGATACATGTGTCTCGGTCACAAGCGGTTCTTTCTGTGAGCAGCGAATGTTGTGTCACGATAAATGTTGCAGCCGCAAGGCATTGTGGGACAGCACTTTCACTGAAGTACTTCCAGGTCATTTCACTCCATATGGAACCTTCCTAAGACGATTCCACCACAACCCAGTTCTGAATGGCCACACTCGTACTTCAGTCAACACATCCTTAAGGGAATATGAAGGTTTTATTGAAATGTGTGTGTGTGTGTGTGTGTGTGTGTGTGTGTGTGTGTGTGTGTGTGTGTGTGTGTGTGTGTGTGTGTGTGTGTAGGTAGCCACTCTGGACTGGCTGGAGAAAAAAGCGGCCGCTGCCCTCTACCAGACCCCCCCCACCTCCACACTGCATGACGCGCTTGAGAACTTCCTGAAGGTACCCAGAGTTCTGCAGAGAGGTTTCTGCTTACCCTCATTTAGTTTTCTCCAGATATCATGTGTATGTTGTCCTGCGGTGTGAACCCACTGGCAGAACAGATCCTCTCCTCTGCACTCTTGTAAATCCTCTAACCCAGTGGTTCCCAACCTGGGGGGCCAAAGATCGCAGGGGGGGCGCCAGGCCTAAGATGATTTGAGGCCAAATATCATATTTAGACCTTTTTTTTTTATTTCTTTTTTTTACTTGTTTTTTTGGGTATATAATTGTAAAGCAATACGTGATTGTCACTAAAAGCCTTGTCTCTACATTACAATAAAATATAAAAAATAATTGATTAATTAATTTGAATAACAATTCAAGTTAGTAGCTATTAAAGGCATAAAAAGACAGCAATCTATAATTCTTTCTTTAATAGAAATGTTTCTTCTGCCCGTAAAGTGTCCAAACCAGGCTTTTCTGGATAAGCTCATTTTTAAAACATAGTCATTGTCCATGCCGGTTTCAGTTGGATTATTTGTCACAGTTGCTCCGATCAGATAGGTCTCCTCCATTTTGTAGATTATTTACAACTTTTGAATCCACATAAACACAATGGCAAAATCCGGTTTACTTTGAGCATGTATTTTAAACAGTTTAATCCCTTTCTGAATTGTTTCCACTTGCGCCGTCCTTTCATTTCTTCATTCAGCGGGAATCCAAATGAATTAATCCTGAGTCCAGTAACCATCAAAGTCACTCCAATAGTGCTCCTTAATTACACTTTCATCCTCCTTTAACAAAACACTTCACATTCATTCAGTTTGTGACAGTAGTTGTAGCATTTTTGAAACTTTAATTACCGCTGTTGTGTTCTTCAGGCAGAGGAGCTCAGTCCGGGTTTCTCCAAGACCGTCAGACTCTACATCGCAAAGGTAATCATCACGCACTCAGCCCAGTTTGTTATTGTAATACTATAGTATATTGATGACTTTATGCATTGCAAAGAGTGCAGCTACATAGAGCCTTTTTTTAATTTTCTTTGATTTGAACCATGGTGGAATGACAATTTGAACAAGACTGACACAATTTGAGTGAACACAATTTCCCCTTCTGCTCTGAGTCATCAGTCAGTTCACACACATCACACACACTGCTGGCATCAGCACCACTTCCCCTTCAGGTACACTGCATTCTCCAATGTTCATAAATCCACTAAGAAGTCAGAAAAACTTCAGATGTCTCATAATCATGAGATTTAGACATTAAACCAGTAGCAAACCCATGCTACGTTATTATTGTTTGTATCCATGGTTACAGTGTGAACAGAAACAGCTTTCAGTTCGGGTTGACACTACTTTCCATCTTACATTTATCAGCGTGTACGAATAGGGAAAAAGACAGGGCAAGGTGAAGCCAAGTCCCCAGGAAGTGAGCAAATGGTGGCTCTGCGGCTTCAGTGTCAGTAGGTGACGTCATTGGGCCAAATACACTCATCATGGTCTCATCATGTTAGAAAGATCAGCATCATTTTTTTTAAAAAGCAGGCTCAACACCACAACATTCCTAAAGTTACAAAACGCCCTAAGAGCGTGCGCCGATCTCTACGGGCCCGATACGGTACTTTTACATTTTGGCTTCATGCCCCACTGAGCAACTTTGATAGGGATGAAAGGGGCTTCACCTGAGCCGAAACAGAAGAGGGTTTTAATGGTTAAAGGCAAGCAATATCTTGTGAATGTGACTTTCTGATGAACAGTTTGGGCTCATATCCCATCACATTCCTCTTCTCTTTATGTTAACCTTCATGTCGTTGCTCTGGCAGTGTCACAAGGAGCTGGGGAACATCTCTGACGCCACGAACTGGACCCAGCTGGCTCTGAAGATGACGACAAACTCTAATGATGTAAGAGCTTTTAACTCCATAACATTCACCAAACTGCATTTCAATATTTCTGTTTCATCTTTGATTATTGGGAGTTGTGTACACAGTGCTGCAGATGACCTCCAGAAGCATTCCTCCGATGTGTCATTGAGCTTCTATGATTATCGTTGTTTCTTTTTCCTTTCTTTAAGGATGAAACGTCTAAACTGGAGGCTGAGCTTCAACTCTTAACGGACACTAAAATCTGAAAAACAACATTTCTAAAGAGATCCAACGGGCGGAGCCACCCAGCTGATGGCACTGATTGGCTAGTCAGGCCGCCAATCAGTGGTCATCCAATCAGACGTGCCGCACTAATGGCAGAAGTTTCTTTCTCTTCTTTGGTGGATATCTTTGTCACACTGTCACTGTGAAATTAATTGGAGTTTATTAATGCATATTTATTTTCTTTAATATGGCTTAATTTAATCCAAATCACTATACATAATATATATATATTGCAATGTTTATGGTGTCTTTAATGTTTTTTTAACCATTTGTTTGCCTTTTTAACTGATAATCAGTGATTTAAACACAAGTAGGTTTTGTTTTTTAGCATCATATTCATAATGGAAGGATCAGTACTCCACATTACAAGAAACATGTTATTGGTAGAGCATCTCAGAGAGAAATATAGAAAAATCTAAATACCTCAAGAGGGAAATGCTTTTTAATTTGTCATTTTTATTATGACCCCCCTCCTCCCCCAGTGGAACACATGTGGAGACGTGCCCCCTCACTGACTGATACATGTGGTACAGCTATCTGGAAGCAGCTGCTGGAGCACTTTGATCAGGGACGTTTTAGAGCTTTAAGGGGAAGGGACTTTGGTAACCAAAATAATGAATACACCCAATTATTTTGCCTTCATAGATTAAGATATTTAAAGAGAATAGTGTACACTTTTTTTCCTATCATTGTTCTGCTAGGTTGACAGATGTTTGTTTTGTGGAGATGACGGACACTTAATTACTTGTAGCTATAGTAACACATAGTGTTTTGATAAGAGTATCAGTCTTAAACTTTTGTTTTTGATGTAGTAAATAGAAAGGTAGTATAAGAAACTGTATTGGACCGAATGCAGCCACTTGTGAAAAAGTGCATGGAGTGTTCTGTTTGGTTGTGAATGAAAAGTGTTCCAATATTTTTGTACCTTCAATTTTCCTTTGAGTTGATATGCTGCCTTTGATCTCTGCGTGTTGTTTTTATTCCCGTTCCTTTCTGAAGTATGTTGGCAGGTTTATTCATTTCTAATGTAACATCTTTTTAATGGCACTTTGTTTTCAATTGATTCATTTTTGTTGAGGTTAATTTTGCAATTGCTGCTGTGAAAAGATGGTCGTTATATTTCCTTAATATTCTGATCCCTTATCAAAAAAGTGAATATGCACTTAAGCGATGAATAAAATGTTTTGGTATTCATATCTTCTAAAATTGTATTTTTTTTATCAATTAAGAACCAGACCCTTCCTAGTAATCCTCCATAGGACCAACAATGAACTTCCATGATGAAAAATAGCCAGTCACTTTAATGGTAAAACTATTTTTTATTTAGCTTCAAGTTATATTTACAGAAGGCGATGGTAAAGACAGAAAAGAGACAAACCTTTAGTGTAGCTGACAAAGGTGAAAATAGAGAAATAACAAAGTATAGCGTTATAGAAATGCGGTCACACATCACAAATAAAACATAAGAAACACCACGGAGACAAAACTATCAAAGAAAATCTCAAAATATTAAATAGTTTTTACAAAAAATATTTTGTGACCACTCCATAGAGAAACTACAGAGGTTAATTCAACAAAAAAAAAAAATTGAGACCGTATTTCTATTAATGACTTAATATCTCGTGATTTACTACGTCAAGATCTAATATTTGCTCAACGGACACTGGTCAAATTGGGATTTTTATTTGGGGAACTAAGAAAATTGGTTATGAGATAGAATTGTCTGGAATGATGGAGATACTATCACCATTATGAAATCCTAAGGCTGTTTCTCTTAACAGAACAATCCAGCTTGTAGCTAGGAGATACTCAGTCATAGTGAAAGAAAACCTCCTTGTTCCCCATGTCGGGGGAAATGTGCTTCAACATCTTGCTGTTGCACCTCTGCTCTGCCGAGGGTCCACAGTGTGCACCACCTTCTCCATCAGCATCAAATCCTAAGCCCTGTCAGCTGAGGCTCTGAGTGGAGGCGGTGGCATGGTGCAGAACACTTTAGTCCAGAATGAGTCAGCAGGGGTGACAGTAACTCATTACCACCCTCTGCTTCCTGCCCCCCCCACCTCAGTCCTTAGCATCACCCACTCCATCAGGGTTGATGGCGAACATGGCCTCAGACTCGGGCAGGCAGGGCGAGTCGTAGATTTTACAGATCCGCGTCTCTCCTCGGCCTTTCCTCAGGTAAAGACTGCAAACACAAGAGCACGGTTAAGATCAGTCCTCTAACCATGAACTGTGATGTCATCGAGTCCTCTAACCATGAACTGTGATGTCATCAGCTGCAGCCTCTGTCTGTTAGTGTATATCAAGCTCTACAGTTGAAACATCCACCCATCCTCACTCACCGTGTGGTGGAGGCGTGAGCCATAATGTTGCCTCCGATTGGTTTCTTTGGATCTGCGGAAAACATGGCCGCTCCATCCACCTGCGCCACCACCTGGTTGGATATCACCACGGCAACCCCAAACTGTGAAGACATTGGAGACAAACGCACTCACGTTACAGACACCTTGGGGTTAAGATGCACAGCACACCTGAATGTGTTGATTCAGAAATTATATAGAAATGATTTATAACACTTATTTTGTTAAGTCATTAACAAGTCATTCAAATAATTAAAAAGGTGGAAAAGAGTATAAATGTTACTCAAGTAAAAGTACATAAGTATTTGCATCAAAATATACTTAAAAGTACCTCAAGTAAAAGTAGTCATTAGCCGCATTCACACCTCAGGACTTTCCCTGGTACTTTGGTTCTTTAGTTCCGTTAGAACCAATAATGTCGCGTTCACACCGCCGGGACTACTCAGTGCCGGGAACTCTTTTGGCCATTTTCAGTCCCTGCTAGAGAGGTGGTACGAACCTGGTGATAAAAGAGTGCCAATTTCTATTCTATTTCTATTGGCTGGGCGAATTGCAAACCACACCCTGATAGACTCTGAATTTTTTTTGTTAGGCAGCCATTTTTTTCCTCGCTACAAAACCACATCCACACCTGAGCGAGTAGTTTTTTTGTACTTTAAAGCAGTTATGACCACACGTACTACAACACCGGAGCGGTGGAATGATGAGGAAGTGTCGGCGCTTCTGGCAATTTACTCTGAGGACGGGATGCAGCAGCTTCTACAGAAAGCAGTTCCCAACTCCAAATGTTTTGAGCGATGTTCGCAAAAGCTACTTGAGCGGCGTGATGCCGTTATTGTTATGTCTTGACTGCAATAAAACAAACAAACTGGCGAAGCTTTATTTATTGTGTCCCACCCCAAATTTGCAGAATAGAAGAATGTGAGAGCAGACAGGTGTAGGTGGTTGAAATTATCTACAATGTTGCAACCTTGTGCAGCAATGGCAGGGGCAGAAAAACAAGTCTTACACACATAAACACAAGTAATTTATCATGTCATTTGTTTTAGATAAATAAGGGAAAAACACCAAACAACGGTTAATGTCCTTTTCCAAAATCAGCCTGAGGGGGTAATATATAATAAATACATAAAGATAAAGTCCATTGTTATAATGGGGTATTTTTTTGTAAATTACCCTTATAACCCAGCCTCATGATGCACATGATTCTTTGCTTGGACATTTTGTTGG